AAGTGAACAATGGTCAGAGGAAAAAAGATGATTCAGGCCTTCAGCAATGGTACCAATATTCATACTCTGGTTTCCAACTTCAAAATCCATTCAAGAACCACAAGGAGAACGGGAATAAGTTTAAAAGGAGGGAACAGTAGAAAAGGAAAATTGAATGAGGACGTCACAACAGGAAGAGGAATTACCATTTTAACTTAGAAGTAAAGATGTCAAGCAAAATAGATCAACCTCAATACATAAGACCTTTAGCAGATGAGAGAGGAGTTTCAGCTATAATAGCCCAAAGGGCAATGAAAGAAGTCTTGAAAATGAAATCGTATATGAAACTTGAGGCAAATTGTTACTCCAGGACATAAACTTAGACGGTTAGAGAAGGCGAAGATCATCTTGAATAAGTTGGAATATTATCCTGGAAATACACCCCCAACCCCCCATATATATATATATATATATATATATATATATATATATATATATATATATATATTTGAATTAAATTTAAATCCTTCATGAGCTTACTATGCTTAGGTATGATTAATTATTGATGAACATGTCATTTCCGTTTATGATCGATTTCATCACGATTCTTCTTAAGCTTATTGCTAAAATTAGAGTGCAATGGTGTTAGAAAAACCTTGGCGAATTCCAGTAAGATATCTTTAATCATTTTTAAGATACAACAGTTCAGAGCTTAATCTAAAAAATGGACAATTTTCCTTTTACACGATTTGAACAATTACGCAGTTAAACCCGGTATATCACAGACATGAAAGATAGTTATAATTTTACCAGCATTAATTGGGATTTCCTGAGAACACATAACCTTTTATGTATCTCTCTGTAATCAGTTCATTCATCTGTCTTCAATCATGGCGCTCCCCTATTTCCTGTCCTTTTTAGCTCTTATAAAATTTTGCCTTTTCGTTAAACTTGTGCATCCATCCATTGACTCAAGCTCATCAGGTTTTTTTTCCGTTTTCCTCCGGTGGGCACTGTGGGTATATTTACATTTATGTATGTTTACATTTTTTTTTTTCATTTCTCTAAGGCTACTAGGAATCACTTCAATATGTCAGTCGGACCCTTTTCTAATCAACCCGAGAACACCAACTACAACTTACAATATTGTTTATGTTCTTATGTTTTTTGAAAATTCCATTTTCCATTTCAAGATCTATGCATTTTTATAGTTTTTGAATATCTTCAAAGACACATTACAATCTACAAGGACTACCTTGTCAATAACAAAGCAAATTTTATTCTTGCGGTCTTTGATCACTATGCCTGAGCGATTAGATTTGATTGTTCAGTCTCTGTGTATTATAAAGTCCCATAAAATTATTGCAAGTCTTATCTCTGTAACCTGGTTTGTGTGATGTTCATACCAGTTTCTTTCAGTTTCCATCCCGTAAATATGGCATATTTTCCAGTGCAGATCTTGGCTCACCTTGACATGCCGAGTTTTGCATTAAGTTGGTGCTAACACTGTGCAAACTGATACAAGTTTTATTATTATTACTGTTATTATTATCATTGTCAGGATGGTACACATATAATCCCGCTGATAGATATGTTTTTATTATTAATATAAAATAAAAGTATATATAGCTAGCTATGCTAGCACGAAGTCACAAGTCATCGTGACCGAGGTTCTGAGTGTGCTGGTGTTGTTCAGATGGTTGATTATTCGAGATAACACGCTCTCTCTCAGAGACAGTAAATATGGTCTGCTCAGCATAGATGCTGTATAAACCACAAGTTGGCTCTGTGGGTGCTGAACAGACACAAATGTACCTGAGCGAAAGTCTCCAATAGGGATTAACTAGCCGCCCTAATAGACGAGTATCCTCGATTACGAGTGGTCAGCTATTATATATATATATATATATATATATATATATATATATATATATATATATATATAAAGGAAGAGAATTAAGATATGTAATCCGGTGGAGCTGGTGATATACATACTTATACGTAAAAAATATTTTTTAAATAATTTAAGTAATTCTATTAATTTGATTTGTTTTAAAAAAGAAATATAATGTATTAGCAATTAAAAGTAAAAATAATATTTTAAAGTTGTGGATCAATACAATGGATTCTAATCCAAACACCTGTTTTAGAAAGAATCAGTATGTATACAAGTAGAAATTTAGCGAATAAAATACCTACAAAAATTTGCCGTTGAACGGATGTCATAATTCGTTGAAAAAAGTCACTCCTACCCTACCTAGACCTAACCCATTTTCGAACGTAACTCATAATTGATACAATAATAGTTAATAAAAAAAAACACGCTACCGCCCCTGTCTAAATGACTGCATTTCTCTGTATCCTTCGAAATAAAACTTATGAATGTATGTGCTTTTAAAATTCAGTAAATTTGAAAATAAGTTATGACAAAATTCGCTTGAAGATAAAACAGAACTAATGCTTTTCATTTAATGTAATTGAATTTGAAGTTTTTTCTGTTTTTGAAACATGGTAATTCTTGTGTAGCGATGAAATCTGATTTTTTAAATCAGTCAATTTATAATATATATATATATATATATATATATATATATATATATATATATATATATATATATATTAGTTTTTACTAAATAACATTTTGCTAAATAGGTGGTATCATTAGCTAAAGATTTCATGAAATTAAATACGTGATCCTCCAAAACATAGATGACCATGATTTGCAACAATTTCCCTTTATTATCTGTGAAATGGAATGTATTATTGGGAAAGATATTGGAGTAGTGTTCCATAACTTTCCCCACAGTTTTAATTCAGAGGTTATTTTGTTTTTTGTTTTTTTTAATTGCTCTAAACTTTATTTTTAGCAAATACACGTGATTGAGTAGACGCCTCATATGTTTAAACGATGTGGATTCCGTCTACCGGCCTAAACAGTCGAAGGACTTAATAAAGAGGGTGATCTCTCCGACAAGGATCAAATCTGTGTCCCTTTTATATAGATGCAGTGTGATTTAGACTACTCGTTCACATCACATTTTTGAAGAATCTCACTCTTTTTTTATTCTTGAGATCGTCTGTGTTACGGCTTCTTTATCTGCTTGCAATAGCTTGAAATATATACAAAAAAAAAACTCACTAAAAAACTGGCTGTTATAGCAAAAAATCTATGTTAGCTCTATACTTTGACAATCAAATACCACTTTATCAAAGAGATTCTATCCTTAACTAAAGAATTCATGAAATGAAATGCTATATGTCTCCAAGACATATGTGATCATAGTTCTCGCCATATTCATTTATTGTTTGTGAATTGTTATGTATTCTTGGGAAATATAGTGGAGAAGTCTCCCATTGCTTTTTCAAGAGTTTGAATTCATTTTTTAAAAATTATTCTAAGTTAAATTACGACTTCCGATAGACTGAAAAAGACATAAAACAAATTATAAACATGGCTGTTATAGCAAAAAAAAAGGTATTTGTGTTGTGCAGTTTCGCTGGGATCCCCACTGTAGCTTTAAAAGAGGCGTCTTTTTCACAAGCCGCCTGTAGAGTCCACTAAATTTCGCCTGTAAACACAAACGCATGACTTTACTCACAACATTTCAAACGCACACACAGACATATAATTTTGTAATACATATATACGTATCTCAATGCGACTCAGCCAGGTTCAATCAACCAGGACTCTGTTGATTTCTCTAACACAACGTACTTTCTGATCAATTGTATTCTTGTGTTATACTTGTGTTATTGTTGTTCTAACATTGATTCCTGAACATTTCTCTCTCAAGAGAACTTTCTTTCGAACAATCAATTACAAATCAAAATACGGTAAAAGGAAAGTGAGATGTTGAGTGTTTCCGCGTGCGTGTATTGAAATAAGGACAAACACATACGTAGGGAAAATTGCTGGTATATCTGAAGAGGTATTTACAACAGAGAGATTAGTAGTCAAACGAACGCAGGTTAGTCAGTAACAATCAGAAAGAGTATAAAGTTCAACTGTATCTTCCGGTAGAGAGACGGAAGTGTGATGGTCACCTGATCTCCCAGAACTCTATAGAACTGTCCTATTAGTAGTAGAGAGATCAGTCCATTCTGATGAGAAGGTGGGTGTGCCCCAACAGGAAACAACTTCTTTTCCCTTAATCTATACATTGAATACAATTATTGTATATTTTGTTCTTGTATGTTATTTCAATATATACTTGATGATACACATATGGAGTTTCGTTGTTTTCTTGAATCATTAATAATACAAAAGATATATGCACTAAAGAACAGGTCATAAAGTGGTGCTCCATTACCTATATGATTACCCTACTGGGGGTCGGGGGAGTTGTAACCCATAACGAGTTTGACTAGTTGATAATTAATAATAACAATTTCGCTCTTCATTGTTTTCCCAGTACATATGGTTCTGTTGCTAACTATGCCAAGTAAATATCAACGTTTTAACCTCCTACTCGTCCTTAGATTTTATTTTTATCTATTCGTTATCGGTAGAGAGGTTATCGGTTCGTTTTTGGTGTCTTGGAATAGACAAACGAATAAATGCAAATGTTTAGTTTAGAAATACAGTTTTATCTGAATCTCTTTTTGACATAGTAACTTGGGCTTTATTTAAGACATACATTTACGCATTTTATTCAAGGTATTTACGATACGTAACTTTCCTCAAGCGATATATTCCTCTGCTTCTGCGTGATGTTACTAAACGCGTTCAAACTGAAATGAATTGGCTGAGGAATAAAAATAAAGGCAGCAAGAATTCTCTTTGACTAAGTCATGGTTATCGTAAGTGCATTCAACCTTTCTACTTTGGGCAACATTTATTGTTACTTATCAGTGTATATAAAGCGATTTCTGTAGGGGGGGAAAGTTCTTCACGTTTGTGTAGGTCTGATAGAAAGAAAGAGATAAAGAAAGAAAGAAAGAACAGCAGGAAAGAACGAAAAAAGAAAGAAAGTTTCTTCTTCTTTTCTTGCTTGACTGCTTGCTTTATTTCTTCTTCTTCT